TTAAACACCCCTACAGTCGCGTTTCACCACTTCCATCTCCTCTTCTTAATCTTCTTCAAGTTGTTCTGAAAGTCGTATATGTATTCTTTTTTCAAATGACACTACCACTTTCCCTCATTCATATGTTGTATGATTATAATATATTTTTTTATTCCTTTAGGCAAAGAAAAATCGAATATATTAGGACGAACAACTTCATAAAAGTAATAGCTTTAATCTCTTCAAATTTAAAAGACCTTTCAATATTGTAAAAAAAACTTTCAAGTTGTTTTTATAAAGTTAAAAAATCATTTTCACGATATTTACAATTTTGGTTCAATCGTTAGATAAAATTTAATGATAAAATTAAAAATGACATTTGTATTGGTAAATCAAAAAGCTGTCAACCAAAATGAAGTCAATAAATTTAAAGGGTGAATATATAGATTGAGGCGTAATTTAGAAAATTAACAAGAAGTTGATTGTAATAAATCTTAAGGGTAATTAAGTATATAGATTGTGGCGTAGTTTAGAAAATGAAAAGACAATAAACTCTTCGAAAATGCTGGAGTAGTTGGTTTTGAGACGAGTGATTAGTGGTTAGACAATAGGTTGTTAAATGAAAAGGCAAAGAAAAAATCAAAAACATTCCCAATGACCCTATAAATATAATATAAAGTTGTTGAAATGATGTAAAATGTAAATAACAGTAATCTATACTCTATATGATAACCAATGACGTACTGTATAAAATACGGCGAACAACTCCGAAAAAAAAAAAACTTAATTACAACATTTATGACTTTAATTAACAGATATCATATTGTTTTAACACGAGATAGCAAATTCCTAATAATATTTCATATAAAAAACAGTAAAGAAAATAATAAAAATTTAAAGACAAACACAATAAAAACATATTTTTATTTTTAACCACGGTAAAAAACATGTTTGAATTTTTTAACTAAAACATAAATATGTTTCTATCTTGAAACTAAAATATCAAACCTACATTTATTTTAACCCAAAACATCAGATATACTTTTATTTTTAACCAAAAACATCATATACATTTATATTATTCACCAAAAATAATAACATAAATTAGTTTTATTATGAATCAGTTACTTAAAAATGGAAATTGTACCTACAACCATGGCACCAACATCTTTTCTTTCTTCAAAATGGATATTATATGTTTACGGAACAAAACAAATCGAAAACATGAAATTATTTGCCCAAAGTAAACTAACTGTCCATTACGTGGAAACTATTTGTCGAAAGAAAACTATTTTTTACCGCTGTATCGTGTGGGTACACTGCTAATACATATATATATATATATATATATATATATATATATATATATATATATATATATATATATATATATATATATATATATATATATATATATATATGAACAAATTTGTAAGAGTTTATTGTCTTAAAAAGTCTTACAATACATGAGTCCAAGTATCAAAATCTTAAAAAGGTAATATACAATAATATATACAATTATGTTTATTATACCATTCTTCATAAACCTAATGCTGTTTTTTGCCGACCCATTAAAGAACATATCCTATATGGACAACTATATAATCCATGAATAAAAACTTTGAACCGTTTGGAATGTGAAGCGTAGATACTACAACGTACTGACTGATCAACATCAATGAAACTTTAAGTGAAAATTAATTAGTGGTCCTCTTATAAAGAAAGATGCAAAAAACTCTGATGCATTTAGTGAAATCGGCTCAAAACAGCGAAGTGAAATCGGCTCAAAGGCATGTGATCACCAGCTTAGCTGGTTGTGATGCATCTGGGTTATAGGTTTCAATGGGTGAGGTCAGGAGTTCGACTCTTGGCTGAACACATGTTGGGGATTTTCCCTGGAGTGGCAAATAAGGGGAAAGGCCAAGGTATGTGGGCTTGCCCGTTACTGGATCCACATTACTAGAGCCCGGTACGCTTGCGGAGATATCTCGCCGGTTCAAAAAAAAACCAAAGATCATTAGCAATGCTAATAATGATTCTTATGTGACTCAAAATATACGCAACCAATAAAACACGAAATGTGACGTAATTGTGTATGAAATTGCTAAAAGGTTTAACTCCTTTTGTTATAAAATTCCATTGCTAAAATACTAATGATCAGTAATGCATGATTTAATATTGTATACAAATTTTTGTCTTAAGTACGAATAGATGTGTGCAAAAGAATCATTTGAACTCAAGAATTATCTAGCTACCGAATGGTTGAATGATGTTAGTGCGTTAGTCTTTTTTTCATGTAAAGTCTTGTCTAAAATGCAACATGGTTAGCTGTTAACCAATCAATGTACGGACATATTTTATACAACTTCATTTGAAGTATTATATATGTAAAATAATATATACATAATATTCCAAAGTATAGCATATTTGTAGTGAGAATAACCTATTTAGATATTTCAAGTGTATCAATTTCCTTCCAACCCAAATCGATGTATCAATTTCCTTCCAACCCAAATCGATGTATCAATTTCCTTCCAAGCCAAATCGATGAGGATTTGAGTTTCATGGAGGAGATTTTTTTAATTGTCTATATTTTGCCAACAAAAAAGTTCCCATAATGGGACAATCAAGTCACAAAAAGGTGAGGGAAACAAGAAATGTCCTTAAAAAAAAAAAGTTAAGATCCCATAAAGTTTATTTTCTTCTTTGTATTAAAATAAGTGTTTTAACTTATTCCACATGCGAATGTTACCTTGATAACATAAGTTTTAATGATTATCTTTACCAATAATCAAATAAATGAATACCTTTAACAAAATAAAATTAAAACCCTCAGTAACACTAATATCTTATAATAATTGTTAATTGATACATAAACAAATTTATATTCAATAGTCAATTGAGTTTTGTTCAAGTCCAAAATAACTAAATGTATATCTTTTTTAGATAAAGGAATTCAGAAAAATTAAAATAATTCATAAACTAGTTTATAAGTTAGGATAACTTATTGATAAACTATATTAAAAACTAAAAACTATCTTTACAGCTAAGGCTCTAAACAAGATCTTAATATCATCCGTTATTTAAGTTGAGAAATATATTTTTAACATCATACATTCAAAATCAAAAGATGTTCTAATTTTGGAAAATCTTTCACACCCTAATTCTGCTTTTAATCTACATATTCGTTTTAAGTAGTACTTAAACACTCAACAACATTACCAACAACTTCTTATACAGCTGCCATTTGATAAATAGACCCAATAAAATATAAGAATTTATCCTTTTAACTCTTCTTCATACTACAATCAAAGACTTTGCCCATAACCGCAATTCGCTTATTGATGATATTCTTCTTCGGTCACAAGATTATCATAACTAAAACATATTTTGCGCAACTAATTTATAATCATATATTATTAATTCATATAATAATAATAATAATAATAAAACAATCAAAATTCAATTATAACAATAGCATATTATAAAGTTTGAGCTTGACTAATGTTTTATTATGAAAAGATTTGTTACTTTAAAAGAATTGATTCGAAACATGCTATATACGAAAGTTTGATATTCCCTTGGTGTTTAAATGGCTTTTACAACATAAGCAGTTTTAAATTCTGTCTAATTTTTGGAGTGTGCTATGTTTTCAGTCTAGTTCGGTTTTATATGAATTTCAATCTTAGGTGTTTAAGATCTAAAGTCTCCTACTTTCTTGATATACCTTAGTTTTTTATAATACATACCCCCCCTCCCTCACATTTACCAATAAAAGTAAAACCCCCAAAGTTTGGTGGATCATTAGCATTCAGGATAGTCAAAGAATTGAGACCACTGATCCATTTTTTTCAGGTATTGGGGGGCAGAGATGACTTCCTCCTATCATTCACCTCTACAACATATGATTCAATTAAAAAGTGATGATGTGATTGTGGTGGAATCAAAAAAGCTTGTCTAATCAATAAATAAAGACTTCGATAATATTCATGGGTTTCATCATTTTATTTGTATTCTTGGCTAGATATGTCTTGAATTTTTAGGTGCCAAATACCAAATGATGTTGGTATCTATATGTACATATGATATGAGAAAAGAAATCAAGAGTACCTTGCTTTTTAAAACTCTTTAAAGGGACAACCACCAAACTTTCATGTGCAACTTTAGAAAGAATATAATGATCAAGAATCCATGGAAAAAGTAGAACACGTTGTCCAGTGTCACGGATTTGCTTTCTTCGTTCAAGCTCCGTGTGAGCTTCGTATCAATGTGACAAAAGTTAATTACATCATTCAAGTAAATGGTGGTTTTGCTAGAAGAGTTTTTCTATTTTGGTCAAAATGTATAGAGACATCAAGAAGTTTGATTGGTTTAACAAAGATATATTTCATGCGCAATTGGAGACTTATTGTACCCGATTTTCGACAATGTTGAACTTTGGTCTATCCCATGAAAGGAAAGAAACTAGTAATTTTACTCTGACAAAGAATTGAAATTTTGGCCTAAACAAACAACTTAAAATGAAGAAGTTATTCAAGTTGTAGGACTAGATATGACAAAACAAGATTTCTAGTGACCTTTTCAAAGAAAATGATGAGGACAAGAAATTCATATTTTTTGCTGAGAGCGAGTCATGAGCCTCTGTCTTTGTTCCGATGGACAAAAGATCATAAATTGTGTCATTGACAACAATCCCAATCTCATTCTAATACATGTCGAACACAATATTATTTGTTCTATTCCATTTTGCCATACTTGTTTAATGTTTAATTCTGTCATGTTTTATTTTGTTCTGTTTCGACCTATAAAACCTTTAAGATAGGCGTTTAGCCATGACACATCCAAAAGTAAGTCGTGCAAGACAAGGCCATTCCATTGTTACAAGACATTTCATTGCTTCATTTCACCACGCCTATACATCCGTTTCATTCAACAATTTTGAAGATGGGTTTACACGTATCATATCAAGGTGAAATCTTTTATCCCAAAATGTTTCAAATTATATAAAAGTCATAATATAATATTCATTCAAATCTAAGTTTACAATTTCAAGAATATATCGGTGTCAAGATAATCTCATTACTCCAAAGTCAACTATAACATCCTTCCCTACTCCTATCCAATTTAGGGGAGTAAGTTTCACATACAAGTATTGGAACAAAAAAGAATTAGAAGTAAATAGATATAACAAAGAATAGGATCAAACTCACAAGAATAAACAATGTGGGAACACAGTGTGTTTGCCTAAAAAAGAATATCATTCACTGATTTTGCAACCTCGGATATATGGATGGTCAAACTTGATGTATTTGACCCAATATGAACGATACCTTGTCATAGCTAACTCAAGCCATGGTTTCATATTACCATTGTAGTGAACCACAGCTGCATTCTCAATATCAATCTTATCAATGCTTGGATTATACCCTAAACCAAGTACATGCCATGATTTGTCAAGTGGATGTGTAAGCCCATAAAATGTCATTAATCCAGGTGGCAATGTCCCAAGCTTCCATAAAACCCTATCCTCATTCTGTCATCAAAAGCCCAATTAGAAAAATGAATGAAATACATTTTGGTCCCTAAGCATAATAGATTTTTGCAGTTTTGGTCCTTTTTTAATGATTCATAACAATTTTGGTACATGTGTCGTCCAAGTTAACAGCCTAGCTGTTAAGTTTTTGAAAATGACCATTTTGCCCTCCATCCAAAACTGAGGAAAAGGTACACCATAGGACCAAATAATTTTTATTTAAGGTTTATAACAATGGTCAATTTTTGGAAAAATCAAAAAAATGAAAAGGTACACCATAGGGACCGAATTTGGTACATGTGTCGTTTAAGTTAACAGCCTAACAGTTAATTTTTTGAAAATGACCATTTTGCCCTCGATCAAAAACTGAAGAAAAGGTACGCCACAGGGACCAAAATAGTCATTTTTTTAAAATTCAAAAAGCTATTCTTTATATTTTTTTAAAAAAAAATTACAAATTTGGTCCTTATGGTATACTTTTTTTTTTCAGTTTTGGTCCAAGGGCAAAGTGGTCATTTTAAAAAAAATAATAACAGCTAGACTATTCACTCAGATTAAAAACATTAGGAAGCTTCAAAATAAGGACAAAATTTGCTAGAGAAAACTTTTTTACATACAATTACAAAATTGCAGAAATCAGCTATTCTAAGAGACCAAAAAAGTAATTTACTCAAAAACTTACCATGCTTTGCCACCTGTGGTAAATTCCAGTTATATCCCTCTTCTTCCACTGCTTGAGATCAAAAACATTCATCCCATACGCCCATCCACATGCATTAGGGTCAAAGTTACGGGCAATATGGGGATTTGAGAAATTTAAATACTTATCAAACCGATGAAAGCTTTCACCACATGTTTCAACAGCCCCGTTGACTTTCCCATGAAGGTCAACCTTCCACAACCCAGTCAAATCTTTTTGAACAACAATGTCATCATCAAGAAAAAGGATCTTGTTTAATTTAGGATAAACTTGTGGGGAGATAAAATCTGAGGTGATTTAACATGGAAAGATATTTAGGGTTTCTGTATTTAAGATTTGAAGATCCAGCTGAAAGGGTTGTGTGATGATCTGCTTTGAAGTAAAACTCTTTCATTGCAGCAGATTCTAGTTGTTTAAGAACTGGACAATATGATGAATTTAGCCATTTGAATTCATCAACATTTTCTACATGAATTGTGGCTTTTCCAGGAGGATTTAATAAAAACCACATGTTCATTGCTCCAAAGTTTAATTTATCAGAAACAAGATGGAAAACATGTTTCTCTGGTTCCTGTGTTTCAAAGAAAACATAAATTAGTCCATAAAAAAAATAACTTATCAAAGTTGCTATTTTGTGAACATTGATTCTTTATTATTCTGTAAAACGTGTTGCAGAAATCGCCTAATTATCAGTTTGAGGTAATCATTAATTAGTTTTTGTATTATTAGCCATCTGTCCACACAACATATGAAACATTTTTTTTTATAAATCATTAATTTTAAATTTGTTTGATCACTAAAATGACCAAAATGGGTGTGACCCTATTACAAAATAACCACCTTTTGAACATTCAACAACCACCCATTTTGCAAAATGCCTTTTTTTGTAATATTGCAATATGCAAAAATAATAATAATAATAATAATAATAACTGCAAAATTGCTATATGATTGGTCCCTGCTACAAAATAACCACCCATTTCAAGAAATTCACAAAATTCATTTTTTTCACGAAATGGCATCATTTTTAACAAAGTAATGTCATTTTGCAAAAAAAAAAAAAAAAAAAAAGTAATAATAAAAGATTTTTGTAGTGGGGACTATTCATATAACAACTTGAAAAAGAAAAAAGGCATTTGCAAAATGAGTGATCATTTTCTGGTAAATGTTCAAAAGGTAATTATTTTGTGATAGGAGTTCCATAAGTCTTTTAAATTTTATTTTTTTTTTGGCAAAATTTCTGATAACTGGTCAAAAAGTAATTATTATGTGATAGGACTTCCATAAGTCTTTTAAATTTTTTTTTCTCAAAATTTCTGATAAATGTTCAAAAGGTAATTATTTTGTGATAGGACTTCCATAAGTGTATTATTGATTTTGCAAGAATAAACAACTTTGGGCATAAAAATAATTAGCACATGAAATCTTTTGTCCAAAATCACTCATTCTTTCTGTTTTTTTCTACATTATTCCTTAAAAGACATAAAGTTTACCACAATGACATCCATTATTAATAATTACCTTAGCATTCATGATTGTAGAGTTGACAACAACGGATGCAGCCAATACATTATCAGAGAAAAGAGCATAATGATATAGACTTGGATTTTCAAGATTCTCACTTCTTGGAAACTTTCTTTTTTCAGGTGAAAGAAGATAATACTCAATTGTTAAACGCATTGATAAGCAATGAATTCCATTTGGAATTGTTTTAGCTGCTAATTGGCTTAAAAAAGTACTTTGCTTTTTCAAGCTTCTAACTTGTTCATCTGCAGATTGAAGCATAGCTCTCAACTTCCCTGTAACTAACTTGCAATCATAAAGTTCATCTCTAGCTTTTGATAACAATTGTCCCATGGCTTTTATTTTCTCTGGGGCACTAAATTGAATATCAAGAAAAAGATTTTATGAGTTGAATAGAAAAGATACTGATATATAAATACACATATTGATAACTTGATATGATACCTTTGATTAAGATCAATATCAGTTGTTGAATCTCCTAAAGCACGTTGACTTTCTTTAATTCGGATTTGTAGCTCATGAGCCATGTTTGTCTTGTTTTTCATAGTTGCAATGCTTACATAAACCCTAGCCATAATGATTTGATCTCTTATCAAACGAACAGTTGTATCTATATTCTCATTATCAGCTTCTTTCCTCCATATACTATACTTCCCCAAAACAGCAGAATCAACTGATTTGGATCTTTCAATGGCTGCATTTTCAAGCTTTATACTTACATCTTCATCTTGTTTCATTAAACCAGCTGCTCGTGTTTCACGTCTTTTGTCTCTCAGTTTCTAAAAGATTACAAGAGTAAGTTTTTAATCATTTGGAAGAACCGAATGATTGTTCACTTGAAAGTACAAATTTACCCTTCTCGCTAGCATTGTGGGTGTCTCCATGTATTGAGAATGATCATCTGCATTTGAGAATATAAACATGAATGTGAATTTGATTCTTATAGTCTTATGGAAACATTAGTGTAAAGAACATTATTACCATCTAAAGAACTATCTTGTTTGCCTTTTGGGGTTTCTTGTTTATTAGTTGCCACATTCTGCTATATGGGAATATGTTAGATCATATAAGAGAACAAGAAAGAAATGGAGAATGAGTTATACAAACCTCAGAAGAACTTGAACTAATATCAATCACATTTTCTTGTCCTGAAAACTTCCAAGAAGCTGAAAAGTTTTGTTTACGAAAAGAATCAAGACTCAAGGGTCCCAAATCATCTGTGTTGGCCTTGATGACATCAATAACCTAAAAAACATACAGTTATCAGCATACTGAAATTAACCTTAGAGTAGTGAAAGAAGAGTTAAAGTGTAGATCTTTGATCTTTCAATGTGCAATGCATTAGTAAGACAAAAGTTGAAAGTACTTTGATGTAATAGAAAGAAATGAAAATAGGATGCTATAAATATAATAAACAACTAAATGAAAGTATGTTGCTATTTATTGCATTAGTCCATGAAAGTTAATGGTTTTTAGTAACATGCCTCCTTTGAGAGAAGAGATTTGATGTGTTGCAAAGCAAGTTTGGTTCTCCAATCTACATCCTGCATTTCTCAATGAAGGTGAGCATCATAACATTTGAGATATGGATAATATAAACATAAAGAAGCTTACTTGTTTATTATTACTAATTGAGGAATCATTTTGATCTGCACACAAAAAGAAAATAGACACCTGGCTTTTTAGAATTAAAAAGACATCAATCAAAGAGTATTCATAGTGGTAAATCTTCGGTTTCCATCCAAAATACTAATCAAGTGTTTGAACATTTCAAAGATCAACTAAGCAATTAACATGTTTCACAACAAAGAGATTTGTCTTTACATAGAAATATTCATAAGGGTCTATTGGTTTCCACTATTTACCTTCATACTAAATGGGACTTATTGTGACATATTTATTTCTCTTCACATCATACAATGAGAATCTTTAAATGAAATGGTGAAAGTAAAGAATGTATAATCAAATAAAATATATGGAGGCAGAGCTATCAGTCACCAATCAATGCCAGCAACATTGACTATGCATCTTCTACTTTCTTGTTTTCACAAGAACCTCTAGGTTTTCCAATAATTTTCATCACAATAGATCAATCCTTTTTATAGTAAAAAATAACTTTATTTCAATCTGTATTAAGTATAAACCACACTACTTGACAATGCAAACAGCAATATTTAATGTTCAACAGGGCAAACAGTCGATTACATAAAGCTCAAAATAGTAAAAATGGCAATTGGGGAAATCCCCAGGTAATATATTTGACAGGAAATCAGAGTATCCACATAGAAATCAGTAAAGTAGAACGATTAGACCGATTACTAACCAATTGAATCAGCCGAATAAATCCCACGTCCAACGAAGAACACCATGGGAGCAAGAACTAAAATTAACACAAGGGTGAACACTGGAAAACGAGATCCACCACCACCTCTGTTTCTATGGACGCCGAAACTTGATACCCCCCTCTTGATCGCCATCTGCAATAAAAAAAACCCTAATCAGGAATAGTCAAGAGCAAAAAACCCCAAAAAAGTTACACCATTTATCGGGTGTCTACGCATAATCACACACAGAGATAAAACTGTCGTACTGGAGTCCGAGGGAGGAAGATAGATCTTTTTATGGAACTTGCTTCTTAGATCAATAATGTCATTTTACTACGTTGCTTTCAAAAATTGAGCATAAAGATCAGTAAAGTGAGGATTTTCAACCCCTAGGGCTATGAAAGCACTGTAATTGGAGTGCTGGGAAAGGGGCTTGGGTTTTAAGCATACAAATCTAATGAAGATTTTCAACAAATTTTGAACGATTTCTTGACTGTGATTCGTACTAATTTCCTGTTTATCTTCCACATCATAACAACGCCATTTATGTCAGGGCTTTGTTAAAGATTCTGAGATATTTTCATTTACACCCCTTAGCTTTACTCTATGTTTATTTTACACCTCGTGTAAGTTTCCAACTAAAAAGTATTGTTCACCTAAAATATTTAATCATCATCTCCGATGGTAGTTGAATAGAGAGTTGCATGGGGAGTTGAATCTCCTTAAACTCGAAATTTTCATTGTAAGTTAATGACATGGTACTCAATAGAATGAGGAGTTCAATCCCCGTTGAACTTTACACTCTCTAACCTCACACACAAAAAGAAAATGATAAATAATATGACAATCCATTTAATTGTACGGAGTTTAATGAGTAAATTGTATAGTGAGTGGAATGTACATGTATCAATCCATTGAACTCATACGAGTTCAATGCATTGGAGATGGCCTAAAACCAAAGTTAGTTTTGTTTTCTCTTCAAGTAATTTAATATCATGTCACATGTATATATTGCCCAAAAGCCTTCTTTAACACAAAGAACAAGACGAAATCATCTAAAAGATATGCAAAGCACAAAGAGTTAACAATTGCAAAAGCTACTACCAATATTTGAAAATGAAAGTGGTTTAAGAAAACTTACCATTGAAGATAAATAAGAAACCATTATTTATAACTTCAACCAAATGAGTATATGAATTTTTAATCATCAAGACATCGACTGACCAATACTCTCAACTCTCAAGTTTCAAAATACTCTCAGACTTTGCATAAACTTGTTTGATTATTATTGAATAGTGACATTTCGGAAAAAAGTGTTCTACAAAGTTTGATATATTTATGTCATGTATACATAATTTATGGATTGATGTCATAATGAATCATTGATAGTTTATTTTATTTCCTTCCTTTTTATAGTTTATTTTAGTATTTTCGCTCTTTTTATTAGTATTGCATTGTATATTCTTTATTTTCTTTATCATGGATCGTGTCGGGTACTTTCTATTTTGTATGAGGTATTTTACAGGGTTTTGGAGCTCGTTGCGGTCGTGGATTAGCTTGTAGACGGGCTTTGTGGGCTTTTGAGGCGTCATTGGGCTTTATGGATCCATCAAAGGAGAATTGGGCTTAAAAAGTTGAAGACTTGAATGAAGTGAGCTTATGAAGATGGGTCTTGGATTCTTATTTTAGCTTGAACTATCTATATTTTAAAGCTTGAAGGTGATTGGCCAAATTTGAATCATGTGAGGTATGGAGGGGACCAAGGAAATCTTGGAAGTAGGGTGGTGCAGTGGAGAAAAAGAGCCAATAGCATTCCAGCATCATTTGTGAGGGTGGAGTCTCAGTCACGCAAATTTGTGAGGGTACCCGCGCAACTGCACGCTTTTGGTCATTTTGGTCATTTTGCTCACCATTTACTTTGGGGGTTAGGCCTATCATCTCACACTTCGATTTTCCACTATTAAAGAGTATTGGAGGCGATTTTTGGGAGCTTGATACACATTCTTCTCATCTTTCTAAGTAATTGTTAGTTTCTTGATGCAAAAACACTTTTGTGATTGTTATTTTGTTGCCATGAGTGGCTAGTTTCTTTATTTGGTTAACTTTGGCTAAAACCCTTTGTGGGTTTTTAAGGATTCATGTTTAATTGTCATTTATCTTATGTTTATGATTCTAGTTCATATTTCTTATGCTTGTTTAATACTTTGATCATGAGTTTGGTAATTGAATGAGCAATTGTTGGTTTATTTCTTTGGTTTAGCATTGAATCATTGAATTTACTTAGAACAAGGGCTTTATGATGGTAGAAATCATCTTTAGTTTATGAATCATGACTCCTTTATGGATGTGTAAGCATTGACATCTTCTAGGAATTAGGTATTCCTTCATTCTTAAGGCTAATCAACTTTCTTGGGTTCAATTTAAAGATAATACGCGTTAAAAATGAGTTTTTGATAGAAGATTATTTAGAATAAATAATCTTAACCAAAGCATAGTATATGTCACAAGGATTCCGTACATATAAAGAACGATGAAATCCGACTTAAAATGAAGAAGTTATGACCCGTCGAAATTTTACGACAAAACCGGCACGGCTCCGCGTAACGTAAAAAGTGAATTTTTGACGAAATACTTTTTAGCTTTATCGACCTAAAAAAAAGTCGTAGTATACGTTAAACCAAGAACGTACATAAAAAGAACGTCCAAATCTGACTTCGTTAGAGGAAGTTATGATTTTTTTAAGATTTTGCATAGCAGTATACATCCCGAGATCAAATTTTAGATCGATAGATTTTTAGACAACACAACCTAAATGAGAATGGAAGATCTCATTAATAAGAGCTCAACGATATAAAGACAGTCGAAAACGGACGTCGGATGACAAAGTTATGAATTTTTAACGGACTTTAACTGTCTAAGTCTGTTAAAATATAACTTTAAAAATAGATTAAAAATTAGCCATCAAAGTCTAAACGAAAGTTGTATATCACATCGCTACCTACGCGTGGATATAAAGAACGTCAAAATGGAGCTCATATGCGAAAGTTACGGATTTTAGAAGATAATTAGTTTTTGGAGTAACCATTGAATGACAGGTGGCGCGATCTGAGCCACTGCTTCCTCCCCACACCTTGCCACCAGATGGTGACACGTGGCCACCGAACGCCTAGCGTTCGTCCTTCATACATCTTATAAATAGAAGGCGCAAATCTCCATTCTTCGCACCTTTCTCACCCATTCTCTCCCAAACACCCCAAGGCCTCTATTTTTTCCCAAGCACCTCATAGGTGTTAGAAGCGAGTCGCGGAGCGCCGAAAAGCCTCGAGAAGAAGAGCTTTCGGCTCAGAAGTTCTGCTCGCGCAGAGCACGGTTCCTCGCTAAACCCCCTTGTAAGTGAGTTATGCTTACCCCCTTCCAAGTCATTTATACTAAGTGGTCTACTTACGATGATGATGTCTAGGCTGTGATTTAGTGAGGTATTTAAAGTGGGATTTCCAAACAATATACTTCGTATACCAAACAGACCTTACCTCTGATATGATCCTACCTGGTTGTTCCTTACTTGATAGATCATGAAGTAGACTTTGAGTTAATGATGAATCTAGACTAATAATTAGTCGCAATAAATATTAGACTAAAATTTAGTGATAATAATACTAGGTTTCGTCAAAGGAAAAGACAATTGTTAGAAGCGAAGCGCTGCCCGGATTTCGAGTCGTCACTTTAACAAGTGAGTGCATAGTTACTTTCATATTACACATAGACATGAATTATTTAATATTAATACATGTTATATGTGTTTATTATATGTGTTCCTGATATCTATGCTAGATGAACGATTTATACATGTTTTACTTGATTTAAACTGTATACATATTTTTATACCTATAAAAATATTTGGTAAAGATAGGTAGATGAATGATGAAAGATGATATAAATGAACATTGACAGCTATGAACTTAGTGCCCTATAGATGAACATTGGCAGCTGTGCCACAACATGTAGGTGTTTTTGAACTACGTGTTCACCAGATGTACTCTAAAAATCTTGGCAGCTGCGCCTAAAGGATAATATTGGCATTTGTGCCTAATATATAACATCATAATCATGGCAGCTGCGCCTAAAGGATAATATTGGTAGCTATGTCTAATAGATAACATCGGCAACTATGGACTTAGTGCCTGTTAGATAAACTCTGGCAGTGATGGACTTCGTGCCCATTCCTTAGGAATAAATATTGAGGAATAGATGATTCTTAGGGGAGATACTTAAGAATAAAGAAGATAATGGGTAATTGGGTTAATTTTTTAATGATTAAACATAATAATTATATTATTGTGGGTTGAAAAACCCGTTGTACTCATCAGGTTTCCCAACCTGACCCACTCAATTTATTTGTATCACAGGTATCGATGCGAAGATACATTACATTGAGAGATTAAAGGAGATGTAAATCATTAGTGTAAAGGTTTGTTTATGCTTATGTTTTTGCATTGACGATCACATCCCAATGTTTTAATATAAACAAGCGGTGTGTACAGGGCCCGGGTACATATTCACCGCGACATGCTGATCCGCGATTACTAGCGATTCCAACTTCATATTCCTGAGTTGCAGAGAACAATCTGAACTGAGGCAATCTTTCCGGGTTCGCTCCGCCTTACAGCCTTGCTTCCCATTGTAGCACGTGTGTGTGTGGGGGGGGGGGTCTTTTTTTTAATAGGAAAAATGAATGAAAATAAAAGCGGTGGCCGACAAGGCCCTTTTACCTAAATCCAATCTCTTGGGAAGCGAAAGGACATGTTTGAAAGTCGTTCGGTAAGATTCTCCTGAAGGTAGACATTTACCCACGACACTGATATTCTGACTCTCTCAATTACACGTGTTTGAGGGAGTTGAACGTCTTATTCTTATGAGTGGCCTATGTGAATATGAGCCAGGAGCAAGGATTACTGAAAGTGAATTCCAGTGCAAGCTTGGTATGAAAGTGGAGTTCAATCGTCGAAAGTGAGATCTCTTTTAGTCCGATCTTCTTTTCTCTATCGAGTCAGGTTCTTAAGACAGGACAGGAAATCAACTTTTCTTTGTTACTAGCCTGAAAGTCTCAACATCTCCCTAAAAAAGTATTAATAAGGAATGCTAAAAAGAAAGAATCTAAGGCTGAAACCGAAACAACACTATAGCTCCTTAAGTTTTGCTCGTTACGCTCCTTAGTAAGTGAATTGGTAGAACTTCATACATTTCTTCAGAAATGCTTTGATAACATCTTTATCATGTTTTCTGGGAACAAATTCCGCAATATTATTTTTCAAAAAGGATACTTTAATTTTTAAATAAGCATAAATAAATTTTTTAAAATGACCGTGAAATTGGGGATGTCACATCGATACCCCTTTTTTACCATTATATTACATTTTATTTGCAAACAAATTGTGTAATTTGCTTTGTGGACTTGACATCCCACCAATCATGTATGTTATATCTTTTTATACTTTATAGTAATTAACATTTCATTTTATTATATATATATATTATATATATATATATATATATATATATATATATATGGAGTGGTTTAAATGAGAACCCAAAAAGGTTAAGAACCATTTTTTAAATGTTTTCATTAAAATCGTTTTGGACAAATTAAACATTAATATTATAATAAACAAACTTTTTGTTGGTTATTTAGTGTCACCATGTCATTTTATGTAATTTGAACTAACATGTGAGCTAAGAGGCTTCATAATGTGCACTCTAATATATGTATGGGGTTGTGCAGAGTGCACGCATGTATAAGATCAAATTAGAAGCCGGTTCGACGACAAGTCGGGGGTCCAGGGGGCAGCGCCCCTGGGTCCGGAGTTTCCAAAGGGACAACGCCCCTAGCGGGGTCTAAAGGGCAGAGCCCGTGGCTGGGGTCCCGCTGGATTATCCTAGGCTGAATTTCTTTCGACCCATGCATATGGTAGAAATATTAGTTCGGAAAGTGTTCGCACGATCCAAGGGGTATCCAGATCTCCAACATAAAACCTATTTCATCCAACACTTTTTCATTCCCCTAGTTTATAACTAGTTGCTACTTGTTGTTGGACAGGCGCTGGACGACCATCAGACCACTGTCGGGCTAATACCAAATTCAAGGGCATTTTCTTATTGTGTTCACAACTTATAAAACAAACATTGTAGTTCTCATTTCTTTGGTAATACTTTTTAATACATATCATTTACTTTTGCAGCCAAAAGTACAAAAATTTAATAAAAAATAGATTTATGCCTTGACAAATTCAATTTTCTCTTTTTTCTAAATTGTAGATTTCTTTTAAAAAATATATCGTGTATAAGACATATTCGCAGTTTAAAATAGCATATTCACAGTTTAATAAACATATTAATTCACTAATACACATTTTAATGTTTTCATGTATACATTCTTTCACATTTTAACACAAAATTTATATAAAAATATACAACTTAATACAGTCCATTTTTAATTTATTACATAAAATTCATAACTTAACATAATACAATTGATTATACACTAATTCACATATTCAAAGAAGTCAAACTCAAACTCTACCACCATCATCACCAGCTACTACCACACACCACCACCACCACCTGTGCCACCGTCGCAACCATCATTCATCCCAAATCATATCTGTATATAAAATCAATGATTAACAACTTAAATACTATATTCACGATTTAATAAACTAATTAATTCACTTATTGAGAGTTTTAAGCAAAATAGTTATAAAAACTAATACATTCCTACATATTTATACAACACGAAAAAAATACATATATTCATAAGAAAATTAATACATAAATTCATATATAAATCATTCATATTTTAATACACAATTCATAAAAAATTCACATCTTAATACAGTTAATTCATAGTTCATTACACAAAATTCACAATTTAATGCATAAAAATTTTACATTCACAACCATTTTTTCAACTTAAAACTTACATTTATATCCTTAGATCTATATGCTAATGTTTCTTTAGAACTTTATTTACATAAATATTCACATTTTTAATTTTACATACTTTATTCAAAATTAGATAAAATCATATTTTTGTATAATATTTCTTCAATCTTATATTTAAGAAGCAAAACAAAAAATTTACAAAAAAAATTCACAGTTTAATACAATTAATTCACAGTTTAATACAAAAAATTCACAGCTTAAAATAGGTAATTCACAGTTTAAACGGAAAATTCGCATCTTAATATAGTCAATTCACAATTTAAAACACCAAAATAACAGCTTAATACAGAAAATTCATATTTTAATACATAAAAAGTATGCATGCACGACTATATTATCAACTTAAAAGTCTTAATATAGTCAATTCACATGTTAATGCAAAAAATTCATAGCTTAAAACAATCAAATCACAGTTTAATATACCAAATTCACAACTTATTATAGTCAATTCACAATTTAAAAAGAAAATTCACAGTTTAATGCATTCAATTCACAACTAAACCCAAATATCACAACTTAATATATATGGAATTCATCTTTAAATTAAAGCTTATTTTATTCAAAAGATAAATGGATACATATTTGTCTCAATTACAAATATTTCCAATATATTTTATTGTTAAAAATATATTAAAAACTTAATATCAATTCCTATTAACCAATTCTTATAATTATTCCATTAAATGTAATTCAAATATTCTATTAAAAACTTAATATGGTAGGCCCATTAAATGTAAAATTGACTTACTCTAGATGTAAAAGGAATGGTATGACAGCAAGCAATTAGAACATCCTCAGAGCAATTAGTCACCTCTTGAACATCTCGATTGAAGCAAATGAAAAAAAAATGAGATTTAATCAAAGGAAAAAAACCATAACCTTACATACGGCCATATTTTGCATTTGTAGAGCATCTTTATAACATCACCAGAGATCTCTTGTCAAAACTTTTGTGGAGGTGAAATCAGTTAAATCACAATTAGAAGTTCATTACTTTGTCATCTCAAAATGCCTGGAACACCACCAGTTGTACCTTCCTATCAACATTCCAACATTAGCACACACAAATACATTCACATCAAAAATTATACTCAAATCTCTTTATCACCTCGCTACAATCAATGCCCAGCTTGAAATAAATTAATTTGTGATGTTCAAATATATTTATATCAATGTCAAAGTTTTCAACTCACCGGAGACAACGGTGATATGTAGCAGCGGTGGAGGAAACAATTGTCTTAAACGGTGGTAGAGAATCGATATGGTGAGGTTCGACGGTGATGGCGAATCTAGAGGTGGCAACAGGACAACGTCAGCAGTTATGGTAGAGGTTTGGCGGTGACGACAGTGACGAATGTGATGGTTCAACAGTGTTTTCATCAGATCTCATATGATTTGTGTTTTCCTTGGCGGTAAGGTTACGATAGAGGAGAGGGGAGACAAAGGTGGCAAAAGCCACCGGAGCAAAAGATAGTAAGGATGTTATCGACGGTGGTTCCGGTCGTCGACAATCTTGCTCTCGATGATCGGCCAAAAAAAAGTGGGAGCTTGTTGATATGAAAGAGGCAAATCAAGATCCGATTTTGATCGGATTTTGAATCAAATGTTATGTGTTTAAGGAATTGGGTTTTAATTTCACAATATTTAATATCATACCACTTCTCTTTTAAAATATATGTAAACATATGTGATAAAATACAAATATATCTTTAACTATATGTTAGAAATAATGGTTCTTATAGTTCTTAATCTTTTTGGGTTCTCATTTGATCTTTTACCTATATATATATATATATATATATATATATATATATATATATCTATATATATATATATATATCTATAATATATATATATATATATATTGAGAGCGGTGAATAACTGCTTCTCCATTCTCAACCATAGGATCAAGCCCAAATTAAACCATGACCCTTTTAAACTCTTTATTTACAATTTCTTGGTGGTTCAACTAGACCTTCCACACGGTCGACAACCCTTGAAACATCCCAAAAATACAGACCAAAAATTTCTTTTTAAAATCATTTAGTAAAAATCATAATCCATCAATATCATAACAAATCACAAATCGTATTTCTCAAAAACATCATGTCAAGATCCTGTAACGATCATGTGAGAAAATATCAGAGTCTAAACAATCCCAGGCTAAAACTGTGGTGTGTGCCATGCGATCATCCCAAGCCCTTCCCCTTGCTAGTGGAAGTACCTGAAACCACACCTGAAAACTGTAAGCACGAAGCTTAGTGAGTCTCCCCAACTACCACATACCAATACACATATCACATAACATATCTTGGGCCCCGCCCCTGCTACATCGAGTCAAGCTCGGCATCGGCTATCCCGACATCGGACCTTTCCTGGCATCGAACCCTATTCGGCATCGGGCCCCACCCGACATCGAGAAGATCTCGGCATACATATAAACATATCAACCAACATATAACATAAGCACATAATACTAACATGTAAACATTCCCCGGGCCCCGCCCGACATCGAACCGAGATCCGGAAACATAATAACATTCCTCGGAACCACCCCGACATCGGACCGGAGTCCGGAACATACTATCATAACATATTAACTAGACATTCATCGGGTTTGCCCCGAAATTGGTCCTAAGCCCGGAACACATAACACATAACAAACACATCCAAGAATCACAAAGACATCAAGCATATTAGCATACAAGCATTCCTCGGGACCACCCGGACATCGGATCGAAATCCAGAAAACATATAAACCTACTTCGGGCCCCGCCCGACATCAAACCGTGGTCCGGAACTACTACTATCTAAACGGGCCGGCCTAGGTGCCTTAGACCCGTTCCTACAGGAGAAAACTCACCTCGCAAAGTTGTCTGCAAAATCTCGCGGTGAGGAATATCTGATAGTTGCTCCAACGACTCCCCGACTATCAATATCACAATAATACTTAGTCAAAAATCTGATAATCCTTCTCAGGGTAAAATGACCATTTTACCCTTGGTCAAAGTCAACATCCTGGTCAAAGTCAAAGTCAATGTCAACTCCCAGTCAACCCCAACTCGTCGAGTTATCTCTTAACTCGGCGAGTTCATGTACTACTTAGACTCGTGATCAACCGAGTCAACTCGTCAAGTCCCTTCCCAGACTCGTCGAGTTCTTCCTGTCATAACATCGGGACAAAGCGTATTAACTCGTCGAGTCCCTCCTTGGACTCATCGAGTTCTTCATTTTCCAAGTCCTAATCTTGCCCAACTCACTAAGTCATCTCCTAGACTCAACGATATCACTCAAACCAGAAAAAGGTTAGGGGTCCACGACCTGACTCGCCGAGTCACAAGAACAACTCGTCGAGTCCCCCATATGCCAAATCCATACAGTCAATTCTAATCAATTCCAATGCTTCCAACTCATAGATCTAGACTCCTTAGACTAGCATTACACGTAAAGTTGCTAACTTTACGTGCATGCATGGTGTTATGAAGCTAAAACACCCTCCACAAGCTAAAATGGAGGTCTAAGTCATGGAATAGGGCCATGGCTGAATAAAGGTGGCAACTTTGAGCTTCTAAAGCTCAAGAGTGCCTAGATCTGAAGTCCTTACATCCCCAAGAGTTCAAATCTCGGAATGACCTAGGAAATGGCCCAAAAGTGACAATATACAAGCTCAAATGAAGATCTAAGTGATTAGAAGCTAAGGTATAAGCTTTATACCTCTATCAAGACAGAAATGAATCCTTAGATTTGGATCTTCATCCCTCCTTCTACAACTCCAAGTCCTTGCTTCCTTCTTCTAGCTTTAAATCACAAAAATGGCATGAAATAGCTCAAGATCACTCAATGTTGATTAGGGTTTCGAGATTAGGGTTTGGAGGTGATGGAGGCTGGGGTGGAGGCCAGATATGATGCTTAAATAAGGTGCAAGCCCTAAATATTAGGGTTTTATCCAGACTGTCCTACTCGTCGAGTCAAGACTTCGACTCGTCGAGTAGCTCACTTAAAACTCGTGCATATTATGTCTTCTACTCGACGAGTTAGGGCCACCAACTCGTCAAGTAGCCTTTCCAAGATGAATAAATAAATAATTTAAGTGCATACCAGGAACCAAGCGTTATAATTATCCCCCACTTGTCTTAGACTTCGTCCTCGAAGTCTGCTGCATCTGAAAACAATTCTGGGTAGTTCTCCCTCATCTCCTCCTCGGGATCCCAAGTCCACTCCGAGCCCTTGCGGTGCTGCCATTGCACCTTTACCAACTCCACCTTCTTGTTCCTCAAATCCTTTGACTTCCTGTCAAGGATAGCTACAGGTCGCTCAATGTAGTTCAGGCTGTCATCAACCTAAATATCCTCAAAGGGTACCACGGCTGAATCATCCACTAAGCACTTCCGCAACTGAGAAACATGGAAGGTGCTGTGGATCTGGCTGAGCTCTGCGGGAAGGTCTAACCGGTAAGCAATCCGACCCACCCGAGACAAAACCCTAAACGGACCGATGTATCTGGGGCCCAACTTGCCCCGTTTCCGGAACCGAATGACACCCTTCCAGGGTGACACCTTCAGGAGGACCATGTCGCCCACCTGGAACTCTAAATCATAACGCCTCTTGTCGGCATAGCTCTTCTGCCGACTCTGAGCAGTCTGGAGCCTGCTCCGGACCTGCTGGATCCGCTCTGTAGTCTTGAGTACTACTTCAGTACTCCTCATGACTCTCTGACCGACCTCACCCCAACAGATTGGGGTCCTACACTTCCTCCCGTAGAGCATCTCGAAGGGAGGTCGGTCTATGCTGGCATGGTAACTATTGTTATACGAAAATTCCGTTAATGGAAGATACGTATCCCAACTGCCACCGAAATCCAAAACACATGCGTGTAGCATGTCCTCGAGAGTTTGTATCGTCCTCTCACTCTGTCCGTCTGTCTGAGGGTGGAAAGCGGTGCTGAAGTGGAGACGAGTACCCATCTCCTCGTGAAACTGTTTCCAAAATCTGGAAGTGAAACAGACATCTTGGTCTGACACCACCGAGACAGGAACCCCATGCCATGCCACTATCTCACACACATATATCTCGGCCGATATGCTCTCCTGGATCAGGATAAAATGAGCGCTCTTGGTCAAACAATCCACGATGACCCATATCGAATCTACTCCACGTGCGGTTCTGGGAAGCTTGGTAATGAAATCCATGGTGATATCCTCCCATTTCCACACGGGAATGTCTAGCGGCTGCATCTTGCCATGTGGTCTCTGGTGCTTAGCCTTGACCTTCCTGCAGGTCAAGCACCTCTCCACATACTACGGTACGTCCCGCTTCATGCAGGGCCACCAATAATCAGGGCGAAGATCCTGATACATATTCGTCGCCCCAGGATGGATGGAGAACCTCGACTTATGGGCCTCATCCATCAGAACCTGCCGTACTCCGCCCCAGTACGGAACCCAGACTCTCCCATGCAAGGTCAGCAACCCTCGGCTATCATAATCAAATGAGGCCACTCGGCCTACAATCCTCTCACACTTCCGCCGCTCTTCCTTCAGGCCCTCAACCTGCGCCTCTCTAATCTGCTCTAACAGTGGAGTGATCACTATCATCCTCAAACATATATCTCTAATCGGAGCCGCTACCGCCTTGAGGCTCAGGGCGTCGGCCACCACATTGGCCTTGGCCGGGTGGTAAAGGATCTCACAGTCATAATCCTTTACCACATCTAACCACCGACGCTACATCATGTTCAGATTCAGCTGATCCATGAGGTACCTTAAATTCTTGTGGTCTGTGTAAATGGTACAACAGACCCCATAGCGGTAATGCCGCCAAATCTTGAGGGCGAACACTACAGCCCCCAGCTCTAAATCATGCGTCGGATAGTTAGCCTCGCGAGGCTTCAGCTGCCTCGACGCGTAGGCTATCACATGACCCCTCTGCATTAGAACTGCACCCATGCCCATAATTGACACGTCACAATACACCATAAAGTCATCTACTCTCTCGGGCAGAGTCAAAATCTGTGCCTCGCACAACCGCCGTCTGAGAGTCTCGAAGGCCGCCTGCTGCTCAGGTCCCCAGCGGAATGTCACCGACTTCTTGGTCAGTCGGGTCAAAGGAACATCAATCTTGGAGAAATCCTGGATGAATCTCCTGTAATAAACCGCTAGACCAAGAAAACTCTAAATCTCAGTTGGAGACCTCGGAACCTCCCACTGCATCACAGCCTCTATCTTGGCCGGATCGACCAGAATACCCTTCTAGTTGACGAGATGCCCAAGGAACTGCACCTCGCGCAACCAGAACTCACACTTGGAGAACTTCGCGAAAAGTCTCTCCCTCCTCAGTGTCTCCAGCACCTCCCTCATGTGCTCCTCGTGCTGCTCTTGGGT